GGATACTCACCAAGATGGGCATTTTGACATAATTTTTGTGTGAATTTGTCCATTCAAGCACAATACTTCAAAGAGAGCTTAATATTTGCGCGCGTTCTGAGACGCGGGTTCACGCGTTTCAAATGAGCGCGCACACAGATCTTCTCACTGCGCGCGCAAGTTTGCGTCTTCTGGCACTTTAATATTTAAACTGGCCAGGCTTAAATTAGTTTAGTTTAAACACAGATAGCAACGTATGCTGTTCGGGTCTCACCTGTGTTATCAACACGTGATGATTGCATAAATGAAGTTGAACCGCGGTCCTAGTGCATACCGAACCGTGTGTGGAGAACGGTATGGTTTGATTTTTTACAGAGAACCGTTGCGCCCCTTATATATATATATATATATAAACCACTAATAGGTTGCATTTACATTGCAATGCAAAATTCACAGAGCTGATCATTTAGATCAGCAGCCATCCTCAGTCAGACACTCTCAATTCCGTTTGAGTCTGTACTACCAATACTGTAGAAAGTCTAGTTGCGTTCTTTCTTACTAGTATCTTTATTTTCATATTGTTACTTGGTACTAAAGTATCAGTACGCCTAACATCCCTATAATGTGCATTTTCGTTTAATGGAGTGATTTGAGATTGCTTTGACTCATGTTGGTACCCTTCCTTTGCCAGGAACTGCTTTATATCTGGCACCACGTATCTGTCCTCTATAATCACATGCTTAATAACTAGCTGGCTCCCTGGGTTTGTAACCACCTGTCTTATTTTGACACCCGATATTCAAACAAAGCTAATCAAAACACATGCCAAATCTTTTATCTTCCAATCTGTACTCATTGTCTATGCCACTCATGTGCCTTGTTTAATAATAGTCATACTGTGTTTTAAATCTTGGTGTGTGTGTACATATGATTTAAGGCACTGCACTCATTCAGCTGTTGGGGGTTTAGTTGGAGTACATCTTTAGTGTTTAGTTTTGTAAAACGTAGACTTTGTTTTAAAAGAGGAATTTAAAGAAATGTTGACACTTTGTTGCCAGTTATATTCAAATTAAGGTTTACATCAATTAAAAGCATGCTCTTTTTTTTTTCTTTCTTTCTCTCTCTCTAGCCACGTGCTGATCCCATACCCATATGCAGCTTTTGTTTGGGCACAAAGGAGTCCAATCGAGACAAGAGGCCAGAGGAGCTGCTGTCCTGTGCTGATTGTGGGAGTAGTGGTAAGAACCATGTTTGAACTCTCAGACTGAGTGGTGCCTATATATGGACAGTGCATCATCTGAACGTCTGTGCCAACTGGCCAAAGCAAGTTATCACATAACTAGGAATGTTATTGGTTGAATGTGAAGTGTGAATCAAACTTTGTAACTAACCATTTAGCTATAACCAAACTAGCAATTTCTGTTTGGATAGCTGCTTTTGTGTTGAAATTTTAGAAGGAAAAAAATTTTTTTAGATTTTTCAGTGGTATAGTTACCGTATTTCAATCATCAGCAGTGTCAGTTGATAGCATGATCATGTGATTGAGTCAAATCCAGAAGAAAGTTTGTCAGAGATAGTGATGCACCCAAATGAAAATTCTTGGCCACAAGAGAAGCTGTACATTCTGGACAATTCGAATGAAAACCAAAACTTTTGCAACTTGTTTGTAACAACTGTCGATTCTGTATCATGGGCACTAACTTCTTTCAATTGGTGTCTTCTTTCAATAACACAAAGGCTACTTTTTAAAATATTGTTTAAATAACTGTTCAAAACAGGGCTTCTACTTTTTTAGACTATTTTCTGTGTGTAAAAGGGATCACAATTCCCTCATTACTTTTTTTTTTTTTTTAATATCTTTTTTAATTATTTAATTCATACTTTTGCTCCTGATAAACTTCTCTTGATTGTGTCTTCTGATACATCTGTTGGGACCCCTGTTATTACTCCCTTCATCCATTTCTTCTCTTCCAACAGTGTACACGAAATTTTTTTCCCTGCTAATGTCTTTAAGCCTAGTACCTGTTTTTGTTGTCTGCTATCTTTACAAAAAAGTAGCAACTTTCCATTCCGTAACATTTTCGCATGTTCGATTTTCCCGATCTCTTCTTTGATCGCTTTAGTTATTTTCAGTGGGTTCAATGCATTCATATTATCGGACAAGAAATGTATCATTACCTTAAACTCTTCCTTTTTCCTTTTCTCCTGTTGTCTTTCCCTTTCACTTTCCGAACCAGAAAGTTGATTCCATTTTTTTTTCCTTTTCCGATTTTCTACTATGTTCCAATTTCCATTTTTACCTCCTTTCTCCCCGCCACTACATTCATCCTCTATGTCCAGCTCACTTCCTGATCCTACGTCACTTCCTTCCATCTCTGCTCCAGTCACATCCTAGTGTCGCCAACCGCCCTCGTCGTCTACTTCACTTTGTCAGGCAGTTCCTATTTAAGAGATTTCTTGATTGCGACCAGGTGTGGCAGTAATCAGGCCTGGGTGTGGCTAGAGAACTTGAACTCAGGTGTGATAAACCACAGTTTTAACAGGGGGGCAAACACTTCTTCACACAGGGCCATGTAGTTTTGGATTTTGTTTTCCCTTAATAATAAAAACCTTCATTTAAAAACTGCATGTTGTGTTTACTTGTGTTATCTTTGACTAGTATTTAAATTTGTTTGATGATCTGAAACATTATTGTGTGAACATTATTTTTTTGCAAACATGCAAAAAAATAAGAAATCAAGAAGGGGGCCAACACTTTTTCACACCACTGTATTACATTAGGTGTTGGTTAGTCCATATGAGTGCATGAGGCAGATAAGTGCATGTGTGCAGTCTTTTTAAAAACAGGAAATGCTCTTATTAATCAGCCAGGATCCAAAAGGAAAATGCAAACTCAAAATATCCATTCTATTTTTAAGTATTTGAATTGCCACACATTGTGCATGCACAATTAGGAAAAACAAATCTGAACTCAATTTGCAATGGAGTTTGAATTTTGACCGCAATATGCTTTCACTGTCTTGTATAAGTTTGATGCGCAGCAGTGTTTTCTGTCCATCTGCATTTCTCTGCACGCCCAACCCTCTACATTGCGAGTAAATCACTCGCATATGCGACTAAATCTTACTCTGGGCGACTAAATAATATCTAACATTAGCCATTGGCTAATAAATTCTTAGATTTTACACGCCAGTATGTGTGTGAGAGGCGTTCAACACAGATTTTCACTCGATAAACACGCTGACTGAGCGCTTGAGAGTTTCACTCTCATAACTATCTGTATATAAAAACAGTAGAAGTCTATGTAATGTCCCCTTTTAGTGTGTGTGTGTGAAAAATAGTATATCAGTCTGGCGAGTAAACAAAAAAATTTACTAGCCAATGGCGATTATATTGCCAAGGTGTGCGTAGAGGGTTGACGCCTCTCATCATCTCACATCAGAGCAGTTGTGTGTGTCTTATCAACTATAAACACACTTTCTGACAAGACATCATCTTCATTAACCAGTGTTTGCATTAAATATGTTTACCTGGATAATTTTACATGCAGACTGCTTTTTTCCATGTCTAAATTTCTGTTCAATCTGCTTAATTTGCGGTTTATGTTTTCAGCCCAGATTCAGTCCGTTTTTTTTTTTGGCCCTAAAACACCATTTTCAATTAATCAAATTTTGGTACATCACATGTCAGAGTGCAATGGGAATGATGTATAAATCTTTGAAACAGCCCAGGAAATGATGATGAGACAGGGAGAAAGATGGTAGCTTATATGCAAGTGTTTTCTTGTTTGGGATAATTTGTGTAGGGCTGTATGTTTGAGAAATGTGGTAAAAGATCTTCAGGAAGGATGCTTGAAGCCTGGAGAAGGCAGATTTATATATTTTTTAACTATAAAAATTGTCTGTTCTGTAGAAGTATTGGCAGAAAGGTTTTACACAATCACAGATGGATTCAAGCTGAAAGGTGTGCAGTTTATAAGATGTTTTTTTTCCCCCGCTTCAAGTTCGCTTGCTTGTTACTTTTACTCTAATTTATTTATTTTTTTCCTCCTCCAGACAGAATTGCCATGTTCCTGTTAAATTACCTGCTCTTATGTCGTAATTTGTTTTGAACAGTGATTTTGAAATGCCACAAGGAATTGTTCTCCCGGTGACATTTTTATGGCTGAGTTTGACTTAACAACGCAGAGGTGGTTTTCATTAAGTGTTCATGAAAGTATAGAAAATGTGCTCCCACTGTAAACCGCAGCTGGTTTGCAGCCCTCAGGGATAGGAGTGCATGCTTTTACATGACTATAACGGATCGACTGCCATTACGGTGTACGCGCGTACCATTTCTGCCTCGTTAAGATCAAATTATCCTTAATTAGCTGCTCAGAAGTGTTTGATAATACAGTGCTTTTAGACACCGATTTTGGAAAGTCTTCACGCATGGTTTTTCGCATTGTTGATGCCACGTGTAAATATTTAACTGATCCATGGTCGGGGGAATCTTTCATTTGTTTCGTTTTGATGTTCTCTCTCCGCTTGATTAAGTCTCTGTTAACATTTATCCTGTAATGTTTCAGCAAGGGCTTTTGTGTTTCCTGCCAAAGTTAAAGGATTAGGTAATGTCGCTCTTTTAATTGAGCATGTTTGGAGACTCTCTCTCTAAAGCCTGTTTGTTTTATTCTACATTTCTCCTCAAAGGCCATCCATCATGCCTGAAGTTCTCCGCTGATTTGACTGCAAATGTCAAGGCCCTGCGATGGCAATGCATCTTAATTTTACAAGAGCCTTCAGTGCTGAATGTCTGAAACTGCTGGAGGGAGGTGACATTCTGCCATGAGAAATCCCGTCAAATTTAATTTGGGTTTTGTTATGGGTGAAATGCAAATGCTTTAACTAAAACTTGTATGTTAAGGATGTCAATTTGACACATTAAATTAGTGTGATTAATTATAGCAAAAATAACACGGTTAATCATAGCAAGAGACGCTAACAGAAAAGCTAGACCAAAGACGTCTGTCTGCATTTCTGCTATATGAACGCTTCCAGTGTGAATGGCCCTGTGGGACTTTGCGACAGTCTACTGCAGACACAATGACAAACTTTTATTAATGTGACTGCAAATTATATTCACGTGGATTGTTGTTCAGCAATAGATGTTTTTAATGATATGGAAAAAGCCAAACAGCATAATGACTAAGACACTTTTTCTAATATCAGGCCTCAAATAATTAGTCTACCTGTCTGAGAATTGAGGCTTTGTTTTTCTTGTTTCTCAATATAAAATTTGTCAAGAGTTTCTCTTTTGACTGTTTCTCTATTTCTCTTTATATCAAGATCACAAGAATACAGAAAATGTATAAGGCTTCGCCTCTGTCAGCTTCTGTATCTTTATTCATTTTTGCAATTCCATTTGGTCGCCACTATGAAATAGCTCTCTGTTGTAGGACGTGATGCTTATCTTGTGAATCAGTGCCACGTATTTCTGCACAAGATATCTGAGAGCTTCAGTTCTACACTGAACATCAGTGCAAATTTAGCTTTAATTAGTTGCGTGAAATCTGATAAAACTAAAGGTCTAATCATTCAATTGGTGTTCATTTGTTATTTTCCTCTCTAAAGAGGATGAGAAGGCTGAAGCCATGTCAGGAAAAGAGCACCCCACACAACTTCAAAGCCATTTATTCAGTGCTTCCTTGTTGGTATGTTACCTGTAGAAAGCTTGTTTTTCTCTGCTTTGTTTCTTTTCTTCTAAAGACAGTGGAAATGAAGGAAAAGGCACAGCGGGTCATCTCTGCTCAGCACTACAAAGACATATCTGAAAAGTGTCACGGCTGCAGACATGATGAACCATCCTTGAAATGCTTCTTTCTTTTTGTCTCTTTTTCTCTCTCTCGCTCTCTCTCTCTCTCTCTCTCTCTCTCTCTCTCTCTTTTCTCTGGCCCTACAGTGGCGGTCCGGGATCCGTTGAGCTGTCTGAAAAAGCACGGCATGGTAGGGGTTCCATAAGCACTTTCTGTACCCCACCCTCATCAAGCACCTTTATACCCACCACAGACGGCAGGAGTCTCACTGACTCCCTCACATCCACACCCACCCTCACTACGCTGCCCCCAATCAACAAGAAAACCAAAGGTCTCATTGACGGGCTTTCCAAATTTTTCACACCATCGCCCTTGGGTCGCCGGTTGCGCGGTGAGGCGTCGGGCTCCTCGAAACAGCACAGGCCGAGGAAACGGGGCTTTCGGAAATGCCATGGCAGCGTGACGATGCCAGGTGTGAGGTTAAACGCCCCGTCTAGCGTTCTCCTTACCCCGTCCCCTTCACAAGGACACAGCCCCATCTCGCTGAACCCCACCCAGTCGTCCTCGCCCTCCTCCGCCCACTCCCCCCACAGCTCCTCCTCCCAGTCTAGCGGCCCGTCCCTCAGTAGCCTCCCAGGCAACAACCAGCTGAAGGGACTCTTTGATGGACTGTCTCATATCTTTACCACTCAGGGACAGTCCCGGCAAAAGGGACTCCCCAGCTACGCACCGCCCAAACGAGCGCGCCGCAGCCAGGATGTTTCCACCTCACCCAAAACGTCCCTGCAGCTTCAAGGAAAGAAGTCTGTCAAGGGTTTCGGTAGTAAATTAGCATCCCTGTCCGGTTCAGCCTCAGGATGGGCGCCCAAGCGAGGCCGGCCGTTTAAGTCGGCGCTCCATTTCAAACGAACACCCTTCTCGAGAAAGCACAAGGTGCTAGGCAGGTTTAGGTTTAAGGCCTCCCCGCAGAGGGAGAACATCACACCAGGGAAGGGCAGATTGGCAGACGGAAGAGTAAAACCAGACCCAAACCATGGTAAGCACAGGGGCCTGAACCTCCAAACGGCCGACTGGCTTTTTCATCTTCAACCGTTTTACTCATCTTCCTCATTTTTTTAAAAGCAAAATAACATGGATTTTTGTTTTTCAACTAATACTGCATCTCTGCATTTTTGTTTTTAACCTTTTTCTTCAATCTTTTTTTATTATTAATTCTGAAGCCACTAAAGCCTTAGATTTCTGCTCTCTGCTCACGTCCTCATGCTGCTCACACCTGCCTCTCAAACCCAAGTTATTAATGCTTTTTCCCTTTAGTAACAAGCACTTTAATGTAAAGTGTTTGCATTTCAAATGACCCTTGCTCCTGGTTTGGTTCCCTCTCAACCTCTGCACAAATGGAGTATTTGTTTAGAGGTCACTGTTGCCTAGAAACAAACTGTGATGTGTGGTTAGAGGTTTGAGGTTAGTGTGTTGGCCAGCAATGTTGATATGAGCCTTTCCTATCTGCCTTCCTTTCCATGACTGTAGTGATTTGCATGCTAGCAGTTGTGATTTTGAAGGCGTGCTATCGAGTCGAAGTTAGTTAGTGCTTGTTTATAATAGCTTTGGGTTTTGTTGTGTCAGCATCTTTTCAGTTCTTTTGTGCTATATTCTGCAAATATTGACTTTTAAAGGTCCTTTTTTCTGACCTCTCACAGCCTTGAATGCCGAGAGATGCTCAAGAAGAGAACCACAGGAAGGAAGGATGGCTTCACTCAATGACCACGTGGCTGAAGAAGATCTGAAATTGTTCAGACGCATCAAGGAGATCACAGCAAAGGTGTGGAGAGTAAACCACCCATTATCAACAGAAGAGAAGGTTTAAGAGCTAAATAAAAAGCTTGATAGTTGAAGAAATTAAGACCTAAATATTGCTACTGTAATTTTACAGTTGTACTGTAAAATATTAATAATGATCTTTTTCTTAAATATTTTACAGTGGTAATTTGCAATAGTAATATTGCATTTTTATTATTGTTATTATTCCCTCCTAAAAGTCAAAAGACCAGACTGGGAGACCAGTTAATAGGGTAGCACAACCCTATTAACTGGTCTACCAGTCTGGTCTTTTGACTGGTTTTGGGCATTTTTCTTACTGAGAGACCAGCATAAGTCACCTTAGACCAGCAAACCAGCTTAGCCTGCTTTAATTGAGCTTTATTAGAGCATCTGGACACAACCCTTGGCAAACACCTTAGCATTGTGGCTGTAATATAAAAATCAAGTTCTTTTAAGTATTTTAATTCTGTTTCTAACTTGTGATTTATTTCAAAAACAGAAAGCTGGTGGCGATCAAGGACAATCCCCTCCTTTGATTGAGTTTGGAAAATATGAAATACAAACTTGGTATTCCTCACCATACCCTCCAGAATACTCAAGGTAAGTCTGAAAATAATTCAGAAACATTTTTACAAGCAAATGTAAACTAGTATGTGATTTTAGAGTTTCTCCCTGCTCTTGTTAGTTATGCCACATTCTTCGTTATAATTAATTGCTGCTCACCTCCTCAGATTACCGAAGCTTTATCTCTGCGAGTTCTGCTTAAAGTACATGAAAAGCCAAGACATTCTGCAGAGGCATTCAAAGAAATGTGGGTGGTTTCACCCGCCAGCTAATGAGATCTACAGGAAGGATAACCTCTCTGTGTTTGAGGTCAGTGCTTGCTCTTAAATCTTGCACAAGGGGCACATGCACAACTTCATCCGCATCCTAATTTATCATCTGCATTTGCAGTTAAAACAAGAGGGGGTTATGTCCAGAGATTAAAGGCTATGAAGTGCCAAGCTTGTCGAAAGACACATCTCCGCATCATGGATGAGAACTGGACTTAAGCAAATTCTTCAATGATCTTATTTGTCTAGTGAACAGGAACTGCATAAATTTTAGCAGGCCTCCAAAAGTGTTGAAGACCTTTCATTGCACTCTGTTTATGAGTTGTGATCTTCACAGGTGCTCCACTAGCAGGAGCTGCCCTTGTATGGCATACCTGACTCTAACTGTTTCCCATTTTGTCGTCTTTGCTCAGGTTGATGGAAATATCAGCAAAATTTTCTGCCAAAACCTTTGTTTGCTTGCAAAACTTTTTCTGGATCACAAGACTTTGTATTACGATGTGGAGCCTTTTCTCTTCTATGTTCTAACACAGAATGATGAGAAGGGTTGTCATCTTGTTGGATACTTCTCAAAGGTATTACAACCCTTAAATATATCTAATCCTATGACAGTTGAGTAAGAGTAACAGCGGGTTATCTAGTGGGTTGCTAAAGATAGCATTTCTTGTACGGTGCTCGTTTTTGCATCTGAACCTTTTCTGCAATATGTTTGAATGGTTTTGTGTGGTTGTTTGGTTCAGGTCAGGACAACGGCAGGTGCAGTGAATTGCTAATGCATTGGCAGTGCGCTGACACACTCTATCTTTCTCTCTTTCTCTCCCACAGGAAAAGCTTTGCCAGCAGAAGTACAATGTCTCCTGCATAATGATATTGCCTCAGTACCAAAGGCAAGGATTTGGGAGGTTCCTCATTGATTTCAGTAAGTTATTCATTAACTGGTTTGGAAGTTTTATGAGATGTGAGCATAAGATTGTTTGTATCATTAACAGATGCTTCTGTGCTCTGCATGAAAGCAAAAAGAGGATCTGTTTCAGACTAGACAGTCATGATGGAAAGACTGCCTGTTTCCTTGTACATGAGTACTGGGTTTGAATGTCCTTATGTACAGTTGAATGTAGAATGTAGTGCATGGTATAATTTGTTTGCTTGTGAATGTTTTGATTTGCTCGCTGTGTGGAATCAGAAGAGCATTTGCATACTTTGTGTTAATGCAAAAGTCTAAAATACTTGGATCTAACTCTGACTTTGCTTAGAGCAAGATCAGCTCAAACTTTAACCAATCAAAAAACAGACCAAATATTTTCTTGATATGTAAATTAATAACCCTTATGAGTTTAAAATTTAAATTACATATTTATATACACGTGTGTGTGTGTGTGTGTGTGTGTGCATGCGCTCATGTACAGTTAGTGGTTATCTGTCACTGGACTGGACTGTTTTTTTTTTGTCTTAAAATATTGTACTGTAATATTGCTTTTTTTTAACGTAACACTGACATCACAAGAATCGAGACAAATCTTTAGCCATTAGAATCAAAACCACAATCGTGTGGTTATCTGTCACTGGACTGGACTGTTTTTTTTTTTGTCTTAAAATATTGTACTGTAATATTGCTTTTTTTTAACGTAACACTGACATCACAAGAATCGAGACAAATCTTTAGCCATTAGAATCAAAACCACAATCGTTAAATTCCTTACATATAACTGTTTGGCTTTGATGAGAAACTCGCTTTGGTTATATGTAAAATATAATTCAATTCAAACTTGTGAAATGTGCCTCAAGACCTTAAAAAGCTGCACATAAACATTACTCCATGTATTCATGAATTGTGATTGAGCTGTTTTATGTTTTGTCAAAGTGACACTCAAACCCGATCTGACAACAATACTCATAAACAATCTTTCCTCATCTCCTCTTTCTTTCTTTTCTTGTCTTTCCAGGTTACTTACTTTCCAGGCTAGAGGGCCAGGCTGGCTCCCCAGAGAAGCCTCTATCTGATCTGGGTCGTCTGTCCTACTTGGCTTATTGGAAAAGTGTCATACTGGAGTACCTGCACAACCACCCAGATAAGAGTGTCAGCATCAGGGGAATGAGCCGAGCCACGGGCATGTGTCCACATGACATCGCTACCACACTTCAGCAGCTCAACATGATTGATTTCCAGGATGGCAGGTGGGTTTGACTGTGGTGGTATCTGACAATTCACTCACATGCTTTCAGTACACTGCATCATCTCTAAAGACATTACTACATTCCAGAGGGGGGTGGACACAGTATGGCTATATTTGCATGTACATCAATAGCAAATGACAATTTCTGTTTTTAATATTTTCTAACATGTTTGTCTAGGTTTGCAATCATTCGAAGGCATCAGCTGATTGAGGAGCATATGGATAGACTGAGAACGAAGCCACGGCTTCATGAGGTTGAACCTGACTGCCTGAGCTGGACTCCAGTTTCAGTCTGCAGAAGCCCTCCAGGGGAGCTGAAGAGTGCTATAGCACAGGTAGGCTTAAAGGTCTATTCATGATTTGATCAGGGACTGAACACACCTGATTTTAGTGAACACAGTTTTTATTTGTTTGTCTGTCCAAGTACAGAGTGCTCTAACACTTAAAGCTAAACGATCAAGGATTTCTTGTTAAATAAAATCAGGCTTCTGTCATTCTTCCCTCTGTTGACTTCATGTCCACAAACAAAGAAAAGATCTATGGCAGCTCAGGTTTCTTTTTGTTTTCAAATATGTGTCTTGAAAGACTTTCTACTCACTATCAGTGATCACGTTGTTGTGGTAATCACCCACAGGTATACCTATAATGTTTCAAATGTCAAAAAAGCCCCCAGAAGTATGCATTGTACCTTAATGTTGCTAAATTCATAGAGGGTGAACCCTCTGCAACCTTTATATAAATATACAAGAAACATCTAGGTGGTTTTCCTGGCATATACAGAGACTTGATCAGTATGTTCCACAGGGTGACTTGAAGTCCAGTTTATAATTACATCTGTCTCGCATCAAATTACTATGTTCTGTATGCATTGTTAATGTTTGCCGCAGATAATGCTGTGGAAACAGCAGATTTTGTAAAATGCCCCGTTATTGTTTCCTTTTGGCCTCTGACACAGCCTGACTCTTTTTGCATAATGCTGAACTCGACCATAATTGGTAAGATGATCAAAGGCTGTTCTGGTGGCTGAGTCTAAAATCAGAGCTTATGTTTTTAATTCAAACCTATTCAATAGGCAGATCGTGGCGATTACAATGAGCGCAGGTCACTCATTCCTTCCTTGGCTCTACATTATTAGCTACAAGATGATGCTTGCATGAAAAGTGAGCTAAATTTATCCCATCGTTTGCCTTTCAGGAGTTCAGGGTGAGTTCACAGAGATAGCTGAAAGCACTTTCGACAGTAACCCAGCTTCCTAAGTGACCTAAATCAAAGCCCTGTATTATTAATGCCTCTGAATGTCCCATGAAATGTAATCTTCCACAGCCGCTTAAAAATAAATGTTGCGGAGATCAACGACTAATCAAGAGACAATCTCTGCACTGCAGGGGCACTGCAGAAGCAAAACGGATAACTGAGATGTTATTTGTCTGCTTGGCTTTAGCCTGTACAGAGCGGCTCAGACGAGCTCATGTTTGTGTTTTTGTGGCACAACAGGCAGGAGACCGTCGTGCAGGCTGTAGTGCATCGACCAGGAATTTGGCAACGGGGATGGGCTACACTAGCACAAGACCTCCACTAACCAAGTGCAAGAACTACAGCAGAAGATACTCAGACCCACTGTTTGCCAGCAGCGCTGGGAAAGAGTTCGAAGTGAGCGAAGAAAGCAGCAGTGATGACGATGATGATGATGACGACGATGATGATGATGGTGAAGACAGTGCAATCAAATCCCAGTCTGGGCAGGGGCTCAAGCGAAAGGTAAACATCAGAATAAATGGTAGTGTGCATGTCTGTAGTTCTCTGTGTATCATCATTGTTCACATTGAATTTCCCTCATCATTTGGGAGGCGTATTCAGTTGGATGGAAATAGATCCAAAACTATACATTAGTCAGACATTTCCATCAGTCCTTAAGTCCATAATTAAGTAATATTGCTTTTGTGATTTGTGTGGGAAATCTTGGTTCTGTATCACCAAGTAATTCTGCAGATTATTTGCATTGGGGTACTGCTATCCCAGAATGCCTGGGGGAGAGTATGTTGTGAGGAACTTGCAGTCAGCTTGATTCTGAACACTCTCATTTGGGGTTTTGGGCAGGTTAAGCTTTCCAAATGAATGGCCTGTGGTGTAGGCACTGTGGTCTAAATGATGGGCTTTTGCATTTAGATCATGAAGCAACCCATTCACAACGCAGCCACATTTCCCTATGTTTAGCATCACCCTTGACCGTATCTGTCTCCTCCAAACCTCTGCTTTTTGGATTAAAGTGCACCAGGGACAGTTCGACAAAAAAGTGGCCAACTCTTGCTATGACAGTTGTTAAGTCTAACAGTCTTTGACATCTCCCTCTATTTATTCCATTCGCAAGCACAAGTTGTTCTCAATCATGCAATATGCACCTCTCTGTTAAGTGAATAGCCCCCTTAAATGTGTCGGGGGTTTTTTTCTTAGCGGGCTCCAACTCTGCGACGGAAGAGAGGGCGAAGGAGAACACGAATCAACAGCAGTGTCACGACCGAGACCATCTCAGAGAGAACAGAGGTGCTAGATGAGCCATTTGAAAACTCTGATGTAGAAAGCCCTCTGCCACAGCCCAGCAGGAGGGGTGGCAGCGAAGATGAGGAAGAGGAGAAGAGCCAGAGATTAGCCATGCGTCGGCCTGGAAGACCAAGGAGATATGAAGATGACAATCACTCAAATCAATCTAAAAAAGAAGGGAATGTGGAAGGTAAAGCCATACATGTTAATATTTACAACATACTGTTTTGTTGCATGTTTGAAAGATAAATTTACATGGAACATCTTTTTTTGTGTTTCTGAAGCAGTGAAAAAGGACAATCCTCGACCTCTAAAACGGAAGAAAGGCTGGCCCAAAGGTGTCAAACGAGGCCCTCCCAAATGGAGACTAAAGGAGCGCAAAATGGGCTTTAAGCTCAACCTCTACACACCTCCTGAGACGCCAATAGTCACAGTGGAGCAGGAGCAGGAAGAGGAGCAGGATGCCAGCCCTGCCTCCTTCTCAGGACCATGCGAGTCCATTAGAGAACCCAGACCAGAGGACCCAGAGCTGGACCCCTCCGATTCAGAGCCCCACAGTCCCGAGCCACCCGAGTCTCACAAAGCAAATGAGAATGAGCCGACAGACAAATCTGACACGGTAGAAAATTCACCCTGTGCTGATGAGACCAGTGAGACAAAATCAGGTCCAATAGATGATTCTGAAGAGTCAACTCAAAATACAGAGGAAGTCAAAGACCTGAAGCCAGAGGGTGAAGCAGAAGGCAGGGTTTGTAAGGGCTCAGGTGAACGAGATGAAGAAGAGGATGAGGAAGAAGAGCCAGAACCATCTCATGTGGACGATCATGATGCGGACGATGAAGATGACAGCCATGAGCAGAGAATAGACGACCCTGTGCCACTACCAGAAAAAGACCTTACGGAAGACCCAGAGCCAGTTCCAACTCCTAGTAATAACAATAAAAATCCTGACATTCAGCCGAGCCCTGTGGACCCACCGCCTCATTGCTCAGAGGAGCTTGCGTTTGAAAGCACTCTCGTGAGCTTGGGCATGCAACAGGGTGACACTGTGGACTCAGATCACCCTCCAGACTCCGAAACCGAGGAAGAGGATAAGAGTCAGAGGCCTGAAGAAAAGCATATGGGCCCACTGACCCCGGCAATAAAAGAGGACCATAACATTTGCCCTGAGCTTGACATGGAGACGGCCCAAGCAGTGCAGTCTCTGACTCAAGAGTCTGAGCAGGAGAGGCACTTTCAAGATTGCGCGGAGACTCAGGAGGCCTGCCACAGCCTACAGCGGTATGTTCACGTTGAGCAGAGCCCTCAGATGACTCCCGTGGACGACTGCCAGCAGTCCGATCACAGCAGTCCTCTGTCTTCTGTCCATTCTCACCCGAGTCAATCTGTACGATCAGTCAACAGTCCAGCGGTGTCCATTTTAGAAAGTGGCTACACGCAGATCAGCCCCGATCAGGGCACCGTCTCGGTGCACTCGCTTCATAACAACATGGAGACTAGCCCAATAATGGATGTGCCCTCGGTGTCGGACCACTCTCAGCAGGTGGTGGACAGTGGCTTCAGTGACCTAGGTAGCATCGAGAGCACCACAGAGAATTACGAGAATCCCAGCAGTTATGACTCCACGCTGGGTAACAGCATTTGTGGCACGGGAGCAGGAGCGGGCGCCTCCTCCCAGAGCAGCTGTTCCTATGGCAACCTCTCCTCCGGTGGCAGCCACAGTCAGAGCAGCTGTGCTGTGTCCCAGCAGATGGCTGGTCCTGTGGCGAACAATACTGGCGCTTGCAGCATGCTCCAGCAAACCAGCATGAGCTCCCCTCAGGGATGCAGTGTGAAGTCTCCGCAAGGCTGTGTGCCGGAGAGGCAGCCCAGCCATCCACACGGACACGGCCACGGGCATAGCCACAGTCACCACCACAGCCATCACCCGCACCATCAACATCACCAACACCCACAACACCAGTACCAGCAGCCTCTGTCGCACTGCTCCATGCCGGCCAGCTTCCCTCCACCCATGCAGCTGCCCAACATCCCAGAGTCCAACAACCCATCCGGCAACCTGGGCCTGTATGACCGAATGGGCCAGGGAGAGTATGGAGGTGGACACTACGGTCAGCACTCAGCTACATTCAGCCTGCATAAGCTACAACAGCTCACCAATACCATCATGGACCAATCCTTGCCCTTCAGCCATTCTGCCTCGCACTCTATCTCATCCTATGCAAACAACAACGGCTCGTTGTCCACGCAGCTCGGCCCTCACAATCCCGCGCTGGTGTCGCTGTCGCAACCTGGCGGAGGCCCTCAGTCGCAGGCTACCGTGACTCCTCCGCCCAACATGACTCCACCGCCCATGATGTTGCAGCGCAACATGGCTACACCCAACATGAACCTGGCCCAGCCTCAGAGACTGCAGACACAAATGGCCCCCAAGAATCACCACCACCACCACCACCCCGTGTCCATCCGCTCCAAATCGGCCCCTCTGCCGCCCCACCACCAGCAGCAGATGTACGGTAGGGGTCCTCAGACTGTGGCCATGCAGGCTCCCGGGAGGACGCTGGCTATGCCGCCGCGGATGAACATGGGGGTGAACCTCATGCCCGCTCCGGCTTACAACGTCAACTCGATGAACGTGAACGTCAATATGGCGATGAACACTTACAGAGTGACGCAGCCCATGATGAACGGGGGCTACCATGGCAATCCTACCTATATGAATCAATCTCCACAGTACTCTATGCAGATGGGCATGATGGGTACTCAGCCTTACCCACAGCAGCCCATGCAGGCCCCTCCCCATGGCAATATGATGTACAGCCCAGCAGGTCATCATGGTTATGTGAACACTGGCATGTCCAAACAACCCTTAAATGGGCCTTACATGAGACGATAATCAACGACCTGAAAGTGAAGGGTCGTGACGTTGCAAAGTCAGCTAGTTGACTTGAGGTATTTAGTTTGTTCTTATTTTCATGGTTAATGTTCGCTTTTATGGATCTTTCTGAAAGAACCAGCACTTGGTAAGAATGCAAAAAAAAAAAAAATTGTTTATTGGCTAAATTTTAGCTTTTCTCCCCTGATTATGGGAAGCCTTACAGCATAAGATTTAAAATGTAACATTTGTGTAAGCGTAAATCTCCCCCAAACTGCATTGCAGTTGAATGGAGGTTACATTTTCTTTAAGTTGGAACCTGCATTATGGAACCTTTAAATGTGCCTGCATTGTATGTTTTTTGGACAAAAGAGCCTTTTCAATGTACCTTTAGCAATCGCAAGGTTATATATGTAAGTCTGTACTCATGCCTTCCTATTATTTAAATTATTGTAAATCTACTTTTATATTTTTTTAAATGTAAGGTTATACTTAGCATGCTATAACGTCTTTGTTAGTGACAGTGCATCAAAGTAGTACTGTACAGTGTTGTGCTTAATAGCAAGCAATTTTATATTAAATGTATGGCCTTGGTTAGGTTTCCCTCGTACGGAAGGAAAAATTAAACTCTATTTTTGTTGATTCTAATACTGTAAAGATTTGAAAACATCGAAAATCACGTTCGCTTGGAAGGTTCTATTGCTAATTGTGTATAATTTGTTACTTGATAACAAGTTTCTTTACCTGAGGCAGCTTTCTGTTTTTATACAATTTAAAGCAATTTCTGTCACAATAGCAAAGAACAGTCAATGTCAGTATTTGTAC